TACAGACATCGGTCTTGTTTAACAAAATCTGCCTACAAGAAAATCTGTCACCAAAGTATATTACTACTATATATACATATATATGTGTGTGTGTGATACATCATAGTCATACAAAACAAAATCATATGTGTTTCTTAGACAGTTTTTCACGTTGAGAATCAACAGAAACATTTCATTTGTAAAATAGATTATGAAACTAACAACAAACATAATCACGTTTTGATTATTAGAGCCTTTAACTCTTATTCTTAAAGCTTTATAGTCAGAACGGCAGGTGGCGATTTTCCCAAATTGGCGCAGAAAATCATTTATTACTAGAATTAATAGCAAGAAGGGCTAACAGTCTTATAAGTGTGTTGCTGTATTGTTTATTTTATTGACCTTAAATGACAAAAATTGTTGTCAGTTTATTTCATGTGTATTCCAACAACAGTAAAAATTTAGGAGTAAATTGATAATGTGGTTCATTTTGAGTTATAGGGAAAATTAAAGTTAGGCTTAGCGCAATAGAACTAAACATTGTTGTTAGGCCTAACACTGTGGAATACACATTACTCAATTACTGGCATTTATTAAGGTTATTGTACTTTGTAGTTTTGTTTTACACAGTGGCATTTTGTATTCACCAGTCAAGTAACTAAGGTTTAGCTTAAGATATGTGTAGAATGTATTTAAAGTTATTAGAATTATAGGAAAAGGTTTACGTGTATAGTGACGGTATAGAAAAGTATAATAAATTCAATTAAGCAAGATTAAGGCTACGTCTCTCTCTGACTCGTCTGAGAAACAATTGTGAGACTACACCTTGTCACTTACGTTGTAGTAATTCAACCTCAAGTTTGTTAGCCATGGGTAAATCAAGAAGTAGAACTAGAAGCAAAAGCCCCAAACATAGAAGATCAAAACATAAGAATCGTAAAAGATCAGAGTTAAGAGAAAGAAGTAAACTCAAGATAAGATCACGTTCAGCTGAAAGAAGTTCAAAAACTAGGTAAAAAATTTATTGTTTATTGATTACCACTTTATGAAGGCTTATTGTTGCACTATTCATAGTAAAATTTTAATTTGCATTTTCATTCTTTATTTAGTCTCATGCATGCATTTGTAACTGTATGCAGTACAGTGTACAGCAACTTTAGAAATCAGAGATACTGTTCCTGCTGTCTGCTATTCTATTGGGATTAAACTGACTCATAGTCACATACATATTAATTCCTTGTTGGTAAGTAGAAAGATGAAGTTAAAAATAAAGCACAAGAACCAGACTTAAGACAGTGAATAGGCGCCTAAGAATTAGAAAATACATTAATTGTATTTTCAGTTGAGATGATAAGTTGCAGTGGAAATTATAGCTAATTAATCTTACTTATATAGTGGAAAAAATTCTAGTTTGGTAAGATAGTTTTGTAAAATCATTTAGTGAAATATGTTACCAAAATAACATAATGTTTAGGGACAACAAGGGATCTATTGGTCCAACTCGGCTGTCTCATAACAACCCTCTGCTTTCTTCCATCCAGCCATTCTTCTATCCAAATAGCTTCCTTATCCTCCACACCTAAGAGATTTTTTTTTTTACATGGATTCATTAAATCATTTACTAGTTATGCCCTATCACTGTTATTAATGTAAATAAGAAAGAGCAAAGGCCCAAACACTAATGCTTTAGCAATGTTAGGTACTTCTCTAGTATCAAAGGTCCAGTTTGTTTTATTGGATTGAAGTATGATCTTCATGGGTTGAATAGCTTTCTGTCTTCTTGATCTTTTTTCATACTTTTTCCTAAAATTGACATGAAATGTTAAGATCTATTGGTGAATTACATTCTTATGTGTCCTACATTTTCTGTATTGTGTCTCTACCAATTATTTAGTTTTTTGTTTATATTGTGTTTGGTTAAAAAAATGTTTATACAAAAATATGTTCAATAGTATCAAAATCTTTCTAGTGGGTACTCCTGATTTGGAAGACAGCAGTTAATAGTATAAAAAACAATCATGGAACATAAAAAAGTAAATTAAAATAAGAAATAAAGGCTGTGTTCATCACTGCAAATATAAGAAAATGTTTTATATGTTGAGTTTATTGTCCTTTTTGTAGGAAACGTGCATCTTCTGTTTCCAGCAGCAATAGTGATGACTTGGATGGACTGTTAGGATCTTCCAGAAAAAAAAATGAGGAAAATGAGTGAAGTTGAGAGGCTTGCAGAGATGGAAAGACAAAGGTTAGATTTAGTTTAAATGGATTATGTAACTCAGTTAATAATAATATACTAATTTTTGTATGAAAAAAAAATTTGTTAAGGAATACATGAAGTACCATGCAAGTTGCCTGCTTATTTATTTAAACATATTCTCAGTCTTTGCCTCTATATCACACAACACTTGTTTGCTCCAAATTGACCAGTTTAGATCATTCCCTCCTATCATTGTGCTGTCTTTCAAAAACAATGTCAGTAATTCTATGAGTTTGCTAATACTTTGCTTATAGCCAGTAGAGAGAGAAAATTATAATTTGTTGAATTAGGCTAGCTTGTTCTGACAACAGATTTATAATTATTTGGTCTACATATTCAGAGTTGGTATTGTAGAGTTTACCTCAACCAAGCAAAGGAAATATTTTAACACAGTTAAAGCTTAGTTAGAAAGCCAGTTAAATTATAGTAGTTATAGAATATTGTATTTTTTGGATGTGTTTTTAATTTGTGTCGTTAGTTAAGTATTTGAAATAGAAATTCAATTAAGTACCAACAATTACCCTACCAAAAATTTGGGTTAACTTTGATTACAAAAATAAAGTATAAGACCTACACATAAGTACTAAATTTCTTATTTTTTATGTATATCTTTTATTTATTCTTATAAAATTACTATAATGTAAAAATTATAAACTTATTATGTTGGAAAACATATGGAAAATAAATTAAATTTCTCAGTAAGGTATGCATATGAGCTACATGTGGGTTACATAATTCAATACTCTGCTTTACCATAACATGAGCTTACTGTGCATTTATATCTTTGTTACATGTTTACTAGTTACATATGGTTCAGAGAGATAAAATTTAATAAAAATAGGTGTAAACTGTTACAAGCCTGAGATTGTTTGGGATAAATAAATGTAATTTTCTGTTACAATCTTTAGTCATTCTAGAAAGAAAAAAAGGGTAATTTAGATCTTTTATTTTTTTGTAATGGTTGCAAGATTGATCAAATGGACCAAGCCCGTATAGTTTTAGGATAGAAAAAATAACAGATAAAATATAAAGTTTACAAAAAAAAACAGTATTTTTAATCTTAACATGAAAATCGTCTTCCATTCAAACTTGTAAAGAGTCTGAGTCAAACTATGACTCCATAAATTCACAAACAAGCCTAGTAAAAACACTTGATTAAAAATCAGATTTGTTCATGTACAAAAGACTTGTAATGTTTACTGAAAGTTTGCCAAATTTTGTGAAGATGAACTTACTATATTAAAAGCTATAGTATGTATAGTTTTGCAAGTATTAGGAAAAAAATTATTTCTAAATAAAAAGCTATATAGGAATGGCTACTGAACATGAAAAAAGGAACCAAACAAGACTGGTATGAAAGTGGAAATATCACTTGATCCAGCTAATGATCATATATGCAGACTAAGCAATCTCAACTTTACATGATAATAAAATCTCTATATTACTAGCTTCCCCACTTTGTCTATTGAAAGCTTGGTGTTTGTATAGAATCTCAACTTTTATCATTATAAAATTAAAACTAAGATAATATATAAATTGGAATTATAAATTATATTCTGATGCAAATTTTATTGACATACATTGATAGTAAAGTTAATTAAGTTCTTTATATAACTATGTGAAATCTCATGACATGAGAAAAAGAGCCAAGCCCATCTGTAGAGGGTTTAGGTGGTGAGCAGTGACAACTTGGTTACTGCTGAAATAAGTTTTTCTGTCTGTCACTAAACACCATTCCTAATGACTTATCAGACTGATAAACATGTGCTGCCTTTCCTATACAAGGATATTCAACATGTTATCAGAAGATTGAAGTAGAAATTTGTTAGATCTGATGTTCATAAAAACCAAACAAATGGACTGGGTTTCACCCTTCTTTTTGATGAAATTCTTAATTTTGATGATAAAAGATAATATGATCAGTAATTTTTTTGAATGCCTATCATAACTTTAAACTATGATGCAAGTAATGTGACCTGCTATCCTTTTATATTCACGTCTCCTGGAAGGCAACTATAGCTGGACAATTTTATTTTATTACCTTTAAGCAGTGAATACATTGACTTGTCTCTCATAAACTAATGAATTCATTGAAATTACAATTACATCTATTCTCACAAAAATAATAAACTCATTGAAATTATTTTAAATTTTTACTGTTTTCAGTTATTTCAACAACACAACCCTCCTTTGATCAAAATTATGCTTAATTCAATTGTTATGAAAATAATCAAATAATTAAAATTAGGGTTTCCAATTATTTATTGTTTTTGTATTATTCCAATTGTCTAAGTCATTAAAATATTACCATTATGTTTGTTCATTGTTAATCTCAAAGCTGCATAATTTAGACTTGAGGATATTGGTTTTAATTCCCATTGCCACTAAATTTACTCATCTTGTCTTTGTTATTGCAAAGCTACCAAGGCTATCTGTTACTGTTATTAACTTTGATCTGCTTATTTAGAGGGAAGGCAATTAGCTAGCACTATCCACTGCCAACTTTCTGGCTGCTTAAGTGTTATATAAATTTTAAATTTACTGTTTTTTTTTTGTTTTTTTTTATTGTGTTAATTTTCTAATTTATAATTATGTAAACTGTATTCTTTAACCCGATGACTACCGGTACTAACTTTCTTAGTAGGCAATGCAAGTGTGCATTTGTGAATTAAAAAAATGAT